ATATATATATATATATATATATATATATATATATATTCTGTTTATAGAAAGAATAATTAGGTCATTAATAAATATTTCGTGTGATATTATTAACAATTTCCTCCGTGTGATATTATATATATATTTAGATGTATATATTGATATTAATAATAATATCAATAACAATATATATCAATAATAATAATTTTTATATGAATTATAAATTAGGTAGTAGTGTAATACTTAAATAATTAAATATAGTAATAATTAAGGATTTGCTATTTAAACCCACCATTCTGCTAAACGCAAAGTTGTCACCTACAAATGTATTTCTGCTTTTGTACTTTCCTTTTTACACCGATTCTCAATGGCAGCTGAACTGGACTCTGAGATTGTTGGTAATTAATTCTATAGAGTGTGTAGTACATGATGTAGATGTAATTTTTTTTAGTGTAATATTAATTTTTATATTTTGTATTTCTAAAATTTTAGTTGATGCATATTATATTTTTTATTTTTTATTTTTGTAGTTTCAGGAAACTTCTATACATATGCATATTCCACGATTGTATGTTCAATAGTGGTTCAACAAATTTAAAGAAGGCAAAGTTTATCGAATCAATAGATTTGAGGTGCAGATTTCCCAACACATGTTTATGACAGAGAAGATTACGATTTTGCTGAAGAGGTGGTCTATTGCTTACTTACATTGTTTTTTTTTATATATATAACTTTATTAACGTATTTCTTTTTTTAAAAGTAACCAATGTGGTTATATTTAGAGATACACTGAAATAGAGTTAGGAGGGAACAGAGTCCCAATACATAGTTGTGGAATGTTCTGAAACTGTACTGTAGAAGCTAAATTGTGGGCTAATAAATTCTGTGATCTAGGAATAAAATTAACTGAGCAGAAATTAAAAGTAGACATGCAGGTCTTGCAGGCATCAATAGCATAACCAATATATGATCTGGGCGGGACCCCTGATGAAGATAGATAGCACTGTAACGTATGACAATCCGTGTAAATCTGGATGGCCTGTTCACCACGCTCTTGTAGCCAAGATAAAGCTTCTTTGTACGCGAACGCCTTGGCCATGAATGGAGAGAAACAACTCGGTAAAGGGGCACTGTACGCCGCAACGTACCCTCCGTCGGCATCTAACAGTACTGCTCCTACCGAGGCAGAGTTCACGGCGTGGTAATATCCGGCATCCACAAAACATTTCATTAGCCGTATGTCGGCAGCATTCACCGTAGCAGCAGTAGGCTCCGACAGTGGTGGCAGCAGCAGCGTTGTTGGCGTTATTAACGTATTTCAATTTTCCTAACTTTCACGTTTCTCTGGATGGATAGGTGGCTGAACCTCCGGTTAGAAATTTGGATAATGAGGATTCTCCTTAAGGATGAAAAACGACAAATATGTCAACAATTTATGTTTGTTATGTTATTTTTTATTATTTTTACTCCTACAATTTATTTTGTATGAAATTTCTATTACGTCGATATATAAAATGGAATATTCCTAACATATTTCATACATATTCCATGCAAGAGATATAGAAAATTATGTATTACTATAATAATTAAATTAAATATGGTAATTACTGTGTACAGATTGTGTAATTCAAACTAATTACTCAATTGAATAAAATCAATTTTAACGTGTTACCATACATATTACATATTTGTTTATGGTAATTAATCAATTAGTTAATAAAATTTATTATGTGTGAAGTTTAGTTGACTAAAATTTAATTAATTATATAAATTATATATTCAAAACCATGTGTATATAATTACTCTATATATATTTTATAAATATTTTGTGTTTGACTAATTAGTTATGGAAATAAAGAATATTATAAAATTAAATTAATTATAGAAATTATATATACATAATCGTGTATATATAATTATTATACTCTATATATATTTCATGTATAACTAATTAGTTATGGAAAGCCAGAATATTAAGGTAATTAATTAATTAATTAGTTTATAATATATAGATTATTAAATATGGTAATCACCGTGTACAGCTTTTTAATAATTTGTGATTCCAAATCCTCCTAAGAATCAGGATTACCGTGAATTAAAAATCAGTGTAAATTCTTCCCTTTATTCAATATTATTCTTATTCTGATTTCTTCCCATACTTTCTTACTAAACTGTGTACATTGTTACATTGTTTTGTACTTATATATTAAATATTTTCTTAAAGTGTATATATATATATATATATATATATATATATATATATATTTTCTATGCGCTAGGATAATGCCCAATATTTATTTTTAAATAAGTATTTCAAAGTATATCAATGCAATATTATATAGAAGATGTTCATGCATAGGTAAATAAATGTTGAGTTTGTTCATGCATATTTGTGTACTTTAATCTCCCCATATTATCCTCTGATGGGATACTCTTAATCCAAAACAATCTAATTATTACATAGGCAGGCCCATTAGCCATTCTTATTTCATAATTGTAAGTTCATAATGTTAGAGTTCTGTGTTCATAATTTCATAATTGCATAACTGTACATTCATAACGGCATAACTGTACATTCATAATCCAAAAAAAAAATAACGCCGTTAACGGCAAAACACGCGCGATTTTTCTTTTTTTAAACTAAATGACGCGTTGTTTTTTAAAACGACGTCGTTTTAGGCCCGTGTCCACAATGGGGGTCCAGGGCATAATTTGCCTGCAAATTATCCAATAGTTATGCTGTGCAACCGTGTGCACCATACATGGTATACACGGTTGCAAAACAACGTCGTTTTGACTAAAAACGTGTGTCTTATTTTTTTAAAAAAAATTTAGTTTCGATTCCCCTCAACAGCATTATTGTGGATATATAGTTCTGAATTATTGTTGATATATAGTTATGAATTTGTGGATATATAGTTATGAATTTGTGGATATATAGTTATGAATTTATGGATATTTAGTTCATTCATTGTGGATATTTAGTTCATTCATTGTGGATGTTTAGTTCATTCATTGTGGATGTTTAGTTCATTCATTGTGGATATTTAGTTCATCCATTTTGGATTTGTGTTATTCATTCACTGTGAATATATAGTTATGAATTTGTGGATATATAATTCAAATTATGCAAATAAAAAAATGCTATTGTCGGGAATCGAACCTAAATTTTTTTTATTTTTTATTTTTAAAGTGGAACGCGCGTTTTTAGTCAAGACGACGTCGTTTTTGCAACCGTGTGCACCATGTTGCACAGCATAATTTGCGCAAATTATCAGCAATTATACTGTGGATCATAGTCCAAAACGGCAGACACTATAATGTATCTTAATTGACACTGTCTCACGTATTATTTTTATTATTATATTATCAAATGAAATTGCAATTGAATTGAAATGAAACTTTAGTTGTGTTGAAATGAAACTGCAGTGTATACAAAATGAAACTGAATTACAATTTCACATATTTGAGTATATATTGTCCAATGAAACTGTAGTTATATCAAAATGATATTGTAGTTGTGTTGAAATGAAACTACAGTGTATATTTGATACTTGGACCACAATGCATTGTGGACCGCGGTCCACAGTATAATTTTCCGCAAATTATGCTGTGGACCCGGGTCCAAAACGTCATTGTTTTGCTTCAAAACAACGCTGTTTAAATATTTTTTTTTTGCCTCCTTCCTTGCAGTTAAGTTGCTATCTGTGTTCAGAATTCGTTCCTCTATATTTACAATTTTAGAACTCTATATTCGCAATTTTAGAACTGAATATTCACAATTTTAGATTTCAATATACAAATTTACAGAACTCAATATTCCAATTGTAGAACTCTATATTCATAATTTTTGAACTCTATATTCGTAATTTTTGAACTGAATAATCACAATTTTAGATCTTAATATACAAAATCGCAGAACTCCTTATTCACAGTTATATCAATAATATAACACAATTTTTGAATCTATATTCATAATTTTTGAACTTTATATTCACCAAAAAAATAAACAAAAAACGAAAAAAATCATTAATTGAAAAAACGATACCACTAACGACACTATTATTCTAGACGTTTTGGACCTGGATCCATGACATAACAGTTGTGCAAAATGAGTCTAGGCCTAAATTTTTCCATTAATCGGAACAACCAAACGTCAATCATGCAACACCACTGATAAACTACAATCGTTATGCGTTGGACCCGTGTCCAGCATGCTTGCTGGACACGGGTAACAGTGCCGTTAGGCACCGTTATCTTTTTTTTTTTTTTTTTTTTTTTTTAATTTCAGATCGTTTCATTGTAATAGTATATGTTCATAATTTTATTACTATATGTTAATAACTATACATTCATAACTCCATAACTGTACGTTCATAACTCTATAACTGTACATTCATAACTCCATAACTGTACATTCATAACTCCATAACTGTATATTCATAACTCCATAATTGTACATTCATAATTTTCGAAGCTCTATGTTCACAATTTTAGAGCTCTATGTTCATAATTTTATCACTATATGTTCATAATTGTAAGTTCATAATGTTAGAGCTCTTTGTTCATAATTCGATCAATAACTGTACATTCATAATTCCATACTGTAGATTCATAATCTCATAACTGTAGATTCATAACTCCATAACTGTAGATTCATAACTCCATAACTGTACATTCATAATCTTCGAAGCTCTATATCCACAATTTTAAAGCTCCATGGTCATAATTTTATCACTATATATGTTCATAATTATAAGTTCATAATGTTAGAGCTCTGTGTTCATAATTTCATAATTGTATAACTGTATATTCATAACGGCATAACTGTACATTCATAACGGCATAACTGTACATTCATAATCAAAAAAAAAAAATAACGCCGTTAACGGCAAAACGCGCGCGAAATTTTTTTTTTTTAACTAAATGACGCGTTTTTTTTAAAAAACGACGTCGTTTTGGGCCCGTGTCCACAATTCAATGTGGACACGGGTCCAGGGCATAATTTGCCGATAAACTAGCCCTCTTGTAGTGGTGAAAGCCTGAAAACAAGGACCAAAATCAAGCCCAATAAGATTTAATGGCGGAATTGAAGCAGAATTCATGTGCCGCTGACGAGCAACACAACGAATCCGCGCCTCGTATTCATTCCACCGTCGCCTTCTCCTTCCCAAGGTCCGCCTTTCACTCCCACTCCTTTATTTCTCTTGTTATGATGTAATTAGTGTTCTACGACTGGATCTGCTTCGGAATTTTAACGTCTTTCGTTTTAGTGAACATTTGAATTTAGATCCGAATTTTGATGTGCGTTTTTTTAATCTGTTGTGTTTATGAAAATTTGATCGATTAATGGTTGATTGATTTGCCAGTAATTGTAATTTTGCAATAGAGTTTTTCACCTTTTGGTCTCACGATTATAGTATCACTATTAAGATTGATCCGTAACTTTCAAATCTTATAATCTCAATCCACTAAATGATCCTTCTGATTCATTTTCCGTCAATTTTTCATCGCGAAAAAATTAACCCTTTCGGGTCAGGATGAAATGGACATTTACATTGCTGATTGCTTGTCCTGTTATTCTCTGATCAAAGTGCGTAAAACTCAAACAAAATAAAACAAAAAAAAAAAAAAAAACAATTGCCAGAGGAACCCAAATCTTCTCAATTAGGAAAGATGGTTGCCACTCTTTCTGGACGATTGTTGAAGCAATGATGAAAGCTTGGGTTAAAAATGGAGCAAGATGATTTCCATTTTCCACTGCTGAACCCAGTAAATGGGACTCGGCTTAAGCTTTGCTGAATTGCATCTTTGGTTCTCTCCATTGCCTCAACATTTCTTTGTTTTTGTTGGCAGGACTATGGGCATTACGGAAGCACAACTTCAGAAGCAGCTTCGCGAGCAACTCGAGGTATGTGAAGGTGTAAACCAAACCTGGGGGTTTCCTCCTTTTCCGTTTTACTGCTAATATAGGCGCTAATTCCCCCCAGATACAAAGAAAATTGCAATTGCGGATTGAAGAACTAGGGAAGTACTTTGAAATGGTTGAAAAAACGGGGAAAGAACAAAAGGCATCGTCACCTGCATCTGATGAACCCCCTTTCTCCCCGCCCGCCAGAGGACAGGACTCCCCTCCAAATGACTATCAAGAACTCGCAGACCAGGTTTTTATGGCATTATCAAAGCTGTGATTTATGTGCATTGGTGTTTCTGCACCTGTAGTTAGAGACTTAGAGCTATTCTTCTCCTTAGTTAGAGACTTAGAGCTAAGCTCAGTGTTTAGGGGAAGGGAATCACCATTCTTGAATCCTTGAAATAACTGTCAATTGCAAGAAAAGAGGAATCCTTCAATGTCTACAGGAATGTCTGCAAATTGAATCTGCAATAAAGGAGTAATACACCATCCAACATTGACAGTCTTAGTGAGGAAAATAAAATAAATAAAAAAACAATTGCAAGAGGAACCCTAATCTGCTCTCATCTTCTCATCAAATCAATTGTATATAAAAACAAGAATCAGACCTCTTGGAAGGTGAGAACAGGCTTAAGACTCATAAAATCAGCTAGCTTTTGATGTCATCATCCATGGAAAGAGGACTAATAGGGTTCAACTAGAACAGAGCAAAAAAGGCATAAACTTAAAATGCAAAGAAACACTGATTCATTGATTCAATAGGGTTCCATACAATAGACTACAGTCCATAGCAGAGATAAATCGAAACGACTTTATATCTACAACAAAACCTAATTCAAACCAGGAACAATTGGAAACCCTAATTTTCAACATCCTAAGAGCTGGTGAACTTAGTGACGGCCTTGGTGCCTTCAGAGACGGCGTGCTTGGCTAGCTCTCCAGGGAGGACAAGTCTCACGGCGGTCTGAATCTCACGGGAAGTGATGGTCGGCTTCTTGTTGTACCGAGCCAAACGAGAGGCCTCCTGGGCGAGCTTCTCGAAGATGTCGTTGATGAAGCTGTTCATGATCCCCATGGCCTTGCTGGAGATTCCAATGTCCGGATGAACCTGCTTCAGCACCTTGAAGATGTAGATCTTGTAGGTCTCAGTCGACTTCTTCGTCCTCTTCTTCTTCTTGTCTCCGGCCGCTGCTGCGCCGTCCTTTGGGAGCTTCTTGCCGGCCTTCGGCTTCTTCTCCGCCGGAGCCTTCTCGGCTGCGGCAGCCTTCTCCGCCGCGGGCTTCTTCTCAGCCGGCTTCTTTTCCGCCTTAGGGGCCATTGGTTTTTGAGAAAGAGAGAAAAAGAGAGAGAGATTGGGAGTTAGATAAAGTGAATCTGACTCTGCGTACAAGTGCGATGAAATTAAGTGTTAAGGGGGGTTTGGTTATATAGTGGTTAGGGTCTCTCCATTGATTGGTCAATCTAATGCGTTGCGGATCCTGAATGTGAGCCGTCGATGGTTTCACCAATGAAGGGCGGATATTAGATGAAAATGAAACGCGGACTAACTTTCAGTGGCAAATTTGAAATTCGGAATTCGATATCCCTCGAAATTTTGGAGAGTATTGAACTTTTGGCGGTAACTTAAAAGTGGGGAGCCAAATGGCCCATAAGATGGTCCATCTATGGATTCCCACCGCGGGCCAATATTAATGCAAGAAAACAAATGGGCTTACTAGAGTAAAAGAATAGCAAAGGTTTTTTTTGTTTTTTTTTTTTTTTGTTTTTTTTGGAAGAAGAAATACCAAAGGGGGTTATCACATATCAAAGTTTAAGTAGAAAAGTTTCAATTCATTATGTGTGTATGATATTTTTTTTCTTAATTCATGTAATCATGTGTTCAATGATTCTTAATGTGAAAGTTATTTTAATATTTATTTCATAATATGACACTTAGTCATGGCAATGGAGTGAGACAAGAGCAGGGAATGTGGTTTCGTTCCCTGTCCTCGCATATATAGGCTTGTGAAAAATCTGGTGGATAGGATGTACAGGTTTAATTTAACACAACACATAAAAACAATTTCATAGATCTCTTAGTTGACATGGTATCACAGCTCGAGAGAGGGAGTGTGGTGGTGGATTGAGGTTGGAACACTGAGGCGATCATCGAAGAAGGAGTTGCGCAGCCACTAGAGTAGCCACGCGCCACTGCTGACATCACACGTCAGTATATGTGAAGATTTCTAACAATGGTTTGTACTCTCAAGTCTCAAGTCTACCTTATTGATTCAAGCCTATTAAGGTATGATGCGTTGAAGCTTTTTGTTGGTTTAACATATGTTATTGTGGACAAATGAATTTGTCAATTTTTTGGGGTTAAAAGTGGCATAATGAAGAAATATAAATGTTGTCTCAACCCCGTCTAAGTTAGTTGATGTGGTGCTTGCATCCAACAGATATAATTTTGGAGAATAGAAGTTTGTGGTTAAAGTTAATTTGAAGTGTATGAGTAAAGGTGACCACTTGATAAAAGAACGTCCCACGCTAATGAAGCAAAAGAATATGATAATGAAATATAAAGTCCTATTTTGTCAATAATTGCAATGAGAGGAAAATAATATTGTCAATGCAACACTGTCAAACTGTGAAACATATATGGGAATTGGTTAATAAATGGTTTAGTGGAACGAGTAATTTGAGCAAATTATATGATTGAGTTGTCTCAAGAAGTTTATTATTCTAGTAGAAAAGGACGAAACCTAGGAGGTTATTACTATTATGACTTCAAGAATACAAGTGAAGCTTTCTGTGCTGCTATGCAAATTACCAATGATGTCAATAAAATGAAAGAGCAACGTGATAAATTGATTGTCTTCCAAAAAAAAAAAAAAAAAATCATAAATTGCTTGTTTTTAGATGGATATATGGATTGTACAAAGAGTATGGCATTCTAAGATCTCATGTGATGGGGAATAAGGAATTGGAGTCATTGGATCATACATTCTCTACGATACAAAATGCATCAGGGAATATTAATGAAATGTCAGTGGAGAGTGTGTTTATGTCACAGGGTAGTAACGTTGAAGCAAAAGCTCTTGTATCACAAGGAAGCGGTGGTAATGAAAGTTATGACTATCAAGATAAAAGTGGCGGCCATTACCTATGACATATTGGGAAAGGCCGTGGAAGACGCAGAGTACTAAAGAAATGTTTTAATTATCGCGAGATGGGTCACAGCCACCTAGACAACAAGCGTTGCTAATGATACTTCTACATCAAGTGGTTATACTATGGTTATAATTGATGAAGAACTTACCATGTTTAATCATGAAAACATTTTCTTCCGTGTTTCCATCAAATCAAATGTCTTACTCAACAACGTTTGTCCAACCAGGTAATCATGTTACATGTGTTTCTTCATCGTCTTACTAGTAGGTCATTGATTTAGGGGCTAGTGAGCATATGACAGGTAACCTAAGTGTCTTTACTACATACTTACCCTATATTCGTGGTACTACAGTCACGCTAGCAGATGTGCATGGTATTTCCCTTTTGGATAAGGGTAGTGCCATTACAACCCGTTTATTACCCATTTCTTCTGTGCTATATCTTCCAAAGTTTCCCTCCAATTTACACTCTGTTAGCCAGATTACCCGAACTCTAAATTGTTTCGTGCCATTTTCCCTGTTTGTTTTAAGATCTTTTGACGAATAATATTATTGGTAAATAGAATGAGGCTGGTGATTTGTATGTGTTAGAACAGTTGTTCCCTGTTGAGGTTACGTCTACTGGTTTGTTGGGTAACACTTATCATTTTCAGTTACATTGTCGATATAGTCACTCACATTTGTTAACTTTGAAGAAGTTGCGCCTTGATCTAAAGTATTTATCTGTCCTGTAAGTCATGTGAGTTTGCCAAACATTATATTTCTTATTTTTTCGCGTGTTAATACCAGGATTTGTGTCCGGTGACATAAAAAAGTGATTTTTGAAATACTTTGTAACCTTTGTGGACGATTTCTCTAATTTGAAATTTGATTTTTTTTTTTAAATATACATAGTATAGTTAATTGTTAATTGCATCTACATTTGTCACTCACAACATATTCACTCAATGTTATGACATGTTTTAATAGGTTTATAAATATGTATTTGTTGTATTGCAAGTTTGTTTGCATGCCTTTAGCTCGTGAAGAACAGTAAGAACAAGAAGAAGAGTAGAGACAAAATAGATGCTTTCTTATTCCTTTATACCACACCCCTGATCATTACATTAGAATGACATATATATAATAACAAGTGTAACGGAATACAATAATGGAGACATAAAGGAAACCGTTACACAATAATGTCCACAATCATTACTATTTATAACACTCCCCCTTGGACATTATTTGTTGATGATCTAGCCTCGTTAAAAACTTTCTAGGAAAACCCTGTGGGAAAAACCTAGACAAGAAAAGAGTACAATAGAAAATATATTCATGCCTCATTAAAAACTTCACTAGGAAAACCACGTGGGAAAAACCTAGTTGAAGAAAAGAGTACATGATATATATAAAAACATATATTGTATTTGGTCGCCTCATTAAAAACCTTAACTTAAGAAAACCCTGTGGGAAAAACTTAGTTAAGGGAAAAAGAGTACAACCATAAGCCTTCAGGGCGCAAACCGCATAATCTTCAGGATTTTGGGGTTTGTCCATTTAAGCAATTATTTTGCAACTTTTCCTCATTGTCATTACTATATCATACTCATGCCTCGTTAAAAACCACACTAGAAAACCCAATGGGAGAAAACTAGTGAGGAAAAGAGTACATGATATTTATGTATTTATGTGTTGCAAATAGTGCGCAATTGTTAGTCTTTTATGACTTAATCTTCAGGATTTTACGTTCAATGTTCAATCTTCCGGATTGATTCGAGTAAATGTACTTCCAGTCTCCCCCTGAAGATAACAATCTTCAAGTTCTACATATATTTCAAATTTTGAAGAGATGGATTGGACAAATCTTATGGATTGTCACTTAGAGTAGTGTACAATAATCTTATGGCTCTTCTAGAGCTAATATAACATTTGTGCAACACAAGTGTTATTGTCCTCATTTTGAACATTTAGGGAAATTCATTGTATAACCAGTTTGGACTTGGCATTGCGGGGATCAAACAAAACAGCCAGTACCCAAGTAGCCTATTAAAACCGTATCATGGTTTCTTACATAAATGTCATGTCTTTGTATCTCGAAGATACCGGAGGATATGTTAATCATTATTCAAGTACTTCATTTGTAGGGGGAGCACTAGATTTTGCTAGCAATTTTATCGCAAATATGTTGCGGTTATGGAACTTCTGGTTCTATAATGGTGCTCCAATGATAATGAAGTAAGGGACTTCGAGTCCAAAAAGGTTCCTTATCTACTTCAAGAGATTATTAGGCAACCGTTAGTTTGATAAAAACATGACACTTATATGCATATAGACATATGAAAAAGCATTTTTAGATGTAGGCTGACTGGTGTATATAAAAAAAAACTGTAAAGAAAAACTCGATCTTCAAGTCGAGATAATACTTATAGCTTTCACAAGCTTTTTGTTTCAAAAGTCTCAGTCTTTAAATATGAACTGACATCATCAAGCTCTTTATATCTTTCATTGATGTTTACACCATCAATCTTGACTGAGATAATAAATAATAAATAAGTTCATTATCAACCCTTTATCGAGCACACAATGGTACATATTATTCCTTCAATGAGGATATTAACTCCATTCGCAACCCTTTAAAGAGTAGATAATGACACATAATAATACTTAAAAATGAGAATTATGAATCCATCAGGGATTTCTCAAGATAAATTTAACTGCATATCTAAATTTATTATTCTGCCAATTGTATTATGTAGCGGAACTTAATGCCATTTACCGTGGGAGATTATATTTGATTAAAATCAATTAAGGGTCTCTGCGTGAACCCATAGGCTACAAACTCGCTTTATCATCTCATTATTCTTATTTCTCTTTCATGCACACACCCATTTGTAACCTTCAGGGTTAACATCAAATGGTGTATTGTTATAAAGAGAATTTATTCATTTTAGCGAGTCGAGCTATGCCTTAATTGCTCCTTTATATATTAAATAGTCATGGCACTTCTGGTGCCTAACTCTGGATCCAGATTATATAACGAGCAATTTGTAATAGCAATTGTGTTGTCGACAACTATAACTTTTTTGTAAAACTCCCATATTTGTAAAAGTAATGGCAATTTCTAAAACAACCAGATTCTAAACATTTCCCAAAGATATTTTGATCTGGTCGTTCCGCATCCCTAGTATTACGTTTGTTTGGTGCACCTATAAGTCTTACCAGGGTTTTTCGTCATCTGGACGAATGTCTGCAGGACATAATTATTCAAACTATTTCAAGAGT